ATAGATAGATAGATAGATAGATAGATAGATAGATAGATAGATAGATAGATAAAACTTCTACAAACACCTACATTTCAGAAAGCTAGCTATGGTTTAACTTTTGCTGTATTCTTTTACAAAAGAAACCCCTATATGAAGAAGTAATTAAGGGCGTATATGCTTCGTTTGCCGTCATTTTGATGATCCTAATAGTCTACAACATGAAATATAGATTGAATTGAAGAGGGGCTTATTCATTGAATGCATCACAATCTTGAAACAATTTGTTAACCTATATCCCACTTAATCATCAAAGTCCCTGTAATTCTAATGAACTTCCTAAGTCTGCATGGCTAGGGGTATAGATTCAAGAGATACCATCGGCTACTGATACAGTAGTCCTTGACTTACAACCACAATTGAGCCCAAAATCTATTGTGAAGTGAGACATTTCTTAAGTGAGTTTTACCCCATTTTGCGACCTTTCTTACCATAGTTCCTAAGTGAATCACTTCAATTGTTAAATTAGTAACAAGATGCTTAAGTGAATTTATCTATCCCATTGACTGTGCTTGTCACAAAAAGGTCACAAAAGGGGATCCCATGACCCTTAGACACTGCAACAGTCATCAATACGAATCGGTTGCCAAGCATCTGAATTTTGATCACGTGTCCATGAGGATACTACAGTTGTCAGTGTGAAAAATGATCGTCACTTTTTTTCAGTGCCATTGTAACTTTGAACAGTCACTAAAAGAAGTGTTGTAAGGCAAGGATTACCTGTATTTGACTTCTGAAGATAAAATTGAAAATCATCATTTTAAAACAAAAATATTAGAAATGGTTTGCTGAGATAAACACTTTCCCTTTCTTCAAGTGAAAGACTAAGGGTTGACTTTCGGCTGAACTGAATTAAATTCATCGTGAAACTAGAGAAAAATGTTTTGTTAGGTGACTTTTATTGTGACTCCCCCAAGAGTCTTATCCAGTACTAGCATTGCTTTTTTAAAATAGTGTTAAATTATAAGAAAGTAAAGGGGCCAGTATACAATATTGACTAAAGAAAAATGATGTACATTATTTTTCCAAAGATTCCTGTCCAAATTTGAACCACTTATGAAGAATGGGTTCCAAGGCTCTGAAAAGCTTTGAGATGTAGATATATATATATCAACTATAAATATTTTCCATTTCTGATATCAAGAGGTTTTTATTTTATTACTTTTATTTCAGGATGAGTATAATTGCTTCGTTCAGTTTAGGAGTCATAGAACGCTTCACCAATGTTCTGAAGAAGTTTGGATCAGCCTGAAGGTTCTTTTTAAATCAGTTTCATAGCCAAAGTAGTACTAAAGTTTCTAGAACATCTGTTGTCTGGGTTACATAAAAATAAACTTAAAACAAAACCAATTTTTTTCAACTAAAGGGAATGAGAATTGCAAGGGATAAATTCTTCCTACTGCCCAAAAACTGAAGTCATCTTTTGGAGTACATGACAGGTAAGTTATCTTTAGGTTATCTCAATAGCTTCATTGTTCTATCTGTTTCGATTCTTCTCACCTATCAATATCACAAGCATCAAGGTAAATATACTGGAGTCCAATTTTCTCTAGAAAACAAAACACTGTCCATTAACAAAGTTTTAGCTCTACTACTAATCCAATCTAAGACACTTGGGGGATCCCTAGGTTTGAATGTTGTGGCATCCATCACAACTGCCTTCTATATAACCACACTTTCAAGGCAGCAAACGTAAACAAAAAATAGTTTTGATGAGTGTAAAAATTCAGAGCAAAATTATGGCCTTGAATAGAATCTTAGGTACAAAGGGATTACAGGTTAGGTTGTTTATCTGAGGGTTTTGCTAGACATAGCGGATGTTATTAGAGCTTTAATTGCTAAACAAATCTGTTGAGCCTTTTTAAATATATATTAATAAGGATTTCTCTGATTTTTAACTAAATGTTTATTACGTGTTGAAATTAATATAACCCAACGATTTAAAATGAAAACAACTAATGGAATTCCTTCAGAATAAAACTTGTAATAATAATTAATACTAGAGTTTAAGACAAAAAAATATGGCACTCTGCCAATGGATTCTAACCTAGGTGCTTTTATTAACAATAAAAATTTTAGAGATTCTAGAAAATTATCCTCTTTACACTGACTGAGCAGCTCTCAAGCTAGGAAAAGATAACCTTTAGAAAATATCACTAGCTTCAATGAAAATTATTTAATATGAACTTAATTCTCCCATTTACGTAGGACAACTTTGGCAATATTTTTAGTCAGTTGGGGGGAAATTGGATGCTTTTTTTGGGTGGAAATAAAGTGAATTAGACAATTAATGGACAAATCAGCCACAAGTGTTGATAAGCACTACATTTAATTTATTTCTATACCATATTCTATTAAACCAGTGATGGCAAATCTTTTAGAGACCCAAGTGCCCAACCTGACAGCCAAAACCCACTTATTTATCATAAAGTGCCAACACGGCAATTTACCCTGAATAATGAGGTTTTACTACCTAAAATAATGATAAACAACACAGAGTTAAGCTAATTGTTCTTAAAGAAACATGATAAATGCACTTTTATGCCCCTTCATTTTTTTTTTTTTTTGCTTTTGAAATATGTTTAGCAACAATTAAAAAAATACCTTTTGTAATATCATGTCTCTCTTTCCCTGCACCTCTTTCTTTCCCCCTCTGTCTTTCTCTTTCCTTCCCTCCTTCCCTCTTTCTTTCTCTCTCTCTCATTCATTTATCCAGCAGTGGGATCCTACCTGTTCTACTATCGGTTCAGTGATCACACGCATGTGCACATGCACCTAACACGTGCACGCAGCTTTCCTCACACCAGCTGAGGCCTGCAGCGCCAATCAGCTGAGAGGATAAAGAAGAGAAAAACGCAGGGGCGAGTGGAAGGGCCGATCCTGTGCTTTTCTTTCTCCTCTCAGCTGATTGTCTAGGAATTTTTTTCCTCCTCTCAGCTGATCTTGGGAGGCTTTTTTTTTTTTTAACTACCGGTTCGGCCAAACCAGTCTGAACCGATAGCATACCACCACTGCATCTAGCTATCCACCATCTTTCTATCCCTCTCCATCCATCCATCCATCCTATCTATCTATCTATCTATCTATCTATCTATCTATCTATCTATCCATCCATTCTCTCCTGTCCAGCTTCATGTGTCACATGAATCCAACCACTTGGGCTGTGGAGGGGGAGGGGAGGCAAAGCCAAGCATTAGATAGCTATGCAAAATAAGGCAGCTCCAACCTGGATCCTGTTGGGGAGACCCCCCCCATCCCGCTCCCCCCTCTCCCCCTCCCCCCCACAGTGGGGGCCTGGGCAGCCTGAGTGCAGATTCCTCTTCAGAGGCGACCAGCAAGCAAACAAATGTGGCGTTCTGGCTGGAAGGTGGCAGCATGGAGCTCCACCTCTGGCCAGCTAGAGTGGAGCAGCTCTGGCGCTGTCTGGGCGGGATGT